AGACGTTAACAGTCTGGAGCAGCAAAATGATCCATTAATCTGTTCAAATATCTGCTTTTATTTTACATTTATTTTGTTGAAAACTTTTTAGTCCCTGTCAGAATCCAGTGTAGGAATGATGACTCTGTGACTCGCAGTGATCTGATTGGTCAGTACTTGGGCCATTGACATGTATTGATCCATTATCACGAACTTCACCTGCTAATAGAGAAGATTAGGGGTTCAGCATCCGTTACCATGGTGATTTACCGGCTTCATAAAACTGAAAACCCATGTAGAATTAAACCTGAAGTTACCTCGATAACAACAAATCCCGACTCCTATAATACAGGCCTCCTTATAGTTACACTGCCACAGAGTCCTGGTTGGTATTAGAGGCACAACACTGGTTGTGGCTCTGAAAGCTGGAATGGGACATTTGGACAGAAAAGGCACAAAATCTCACCCAGGACGCAATTCTCTCAAATGTCATCCCGTTCCAAAGCTGGTACTTTTTTTAAGCATCAGAAGAAGAAATGCTTTATGCATGAGCACACTTGACATGATGAGCCAATTAGTGTCAAGTTGTTCCTCTCGGTGGTATTAGCAAAGGAAGGCTCTGAAGATGCAGGTGTGTGTGTGTCTGCAAGGACCAATAAAGACAAATCACCGCGCCTGATCATTAAATCTGGGGTAATGATAGCTTTATGTGGAGATGTGTCCCAGGTGTGCTATTAAACTATGAACATAGTCAGGGTCTGTGACCGGCAGCGATGAGGGCGCACCGATGAGATGGTGTTGGGCTGAAACCACGTCACCCTGGAGATGGTAACATGAACGTGCACAGATTCTCTTGAGCTTTTGATTCTGATTCACTTTCTGAGAGAAGTTTTGCGTTAACACGATTAACTACACAGCTTGCGGCCCAGTCCTGAAAAGGCCACTTCAGTAAAAGCCTTTTGAAGACGGCGTTCCCGAGTCAGTCGGCATCGTTACCGGCTGCATGGTGTCTCGTTTCCATGTGAACAATCAGTTTGATTGACAGCTCTGAATGATGTCTTCAGTTAATCGCTCCAGCGGTGTGAAAAGGTCATAAATCACCCAATTACGTTGCCCCGCTTTATGAATAGATATTTTTGGGGGAATATTTAAAATGCCTCTGAGGCATATCAACGGAGTCAACCCCATATTTATTGAGAGGGAGTTTGGGGAGGGGGGGTTGGCTGCTTGTGCCAGAAATAACCGATAAGCTGAATACATTTTAGAGTCTTAGTCACACTGTGGAATGTCACAGTGTTACTGGGTGTGAAAGTTGGAATTGCATTCAAGGTCAGGATATACAATTTATGACAGCTTTGACACGTTTGAAAAATAAGTTCAAAAAAAGACGAATAGAAATAATTACAGAGGGAGGAAGTGAAAATAAAATAGAAAACGCTTGGTGGAGGGGAGAAAAAGATCTGAACGAAGCTATCAGCACAGATTTATCAGAAGAACCGCAAAACAAATTTATTAGAAACACGTCGTTTCTGTCAAAGCAGCCGCGATGCATCTTTCCACTCAGCTGTGTTTGATCAATACCAGTCAGAATAAAATGTCTCAGTGGTTTTCAAAGTATTTTCAGAGTCGGTACCTGAGAGAAAACACACACTCATAGATTGTAATTTTCATAACGAGTTATTGAGTTTTCCACTTAACAAATCAGTCAAATAAACTGTCCCAACCCTTGAAATGTCTCTAAATACTAGAGAGTACCGTCCTCCAAACATTACAGTGACATGTTTGTGCTGCAAAGATCTTTAAGGGAACGGCCGTCAGTGGGTTATATCAGGATATATGCTTTAGGTATATAATCAATTTTCAGCGTTTGACGACCAAGGTTCCTCTCTCCCACATGCGAGGTAGGTTACTCATCTCAGGTGGAGGTTACTGCGATGTGTTGCACGCAGGTCATTTTCTTTTACTGATGCCTCTCACATGTTGACCTTCAGAGCTAAGAGATGAGGCACTGCAGCCAATCCAGAGGAGGATTACAGGGAGATGTGATGCCACTGCAAAATATGAACTCCAAGGCAGATGAGACAGAGATGGAAAGAGGAGGACGAGGGCTGACTCAGAGGATCACACGTTTCCACCTCCTACGTCTGATATCGTGAGGAAAACACCGATTATTATTCTTTGTAATATGTGAGCTGGATAAATTGTTTTCCTCGTGCATGCAGTCTGGTGCTACGTGGAGGTATTAAAACAGCAGGTTTTCACGCAGCGTTTCACACCACGTCTGATGTGTTACACTAAGTATTCACACATGCTGAAATGAAGATTTCCTCATTTGATGTGACAGCTAATTTCACAGGGTGCTGTGAGAAAAATTATGAGGACCAAAACTTGCACTGTGAAACCATTAAAACAACGCTGGTTAGAGTTTGAACAGTGGGTGGCTGAGTTTTCTGCACCAATATTCAGAACTGGTCAGAATAGAACAAAGTAGTTTTACTGTTAAATGGTTGCAAACAAATTGATATGGTACATTTCCCACTGTCAGTAACTCATCACAGGGGTTTTGAAGTCCTGAACTGCCAAAAAAAAGTCTGAAAAATTGGGTCGGGATGTTTTCCGACTTTGACTATCATATGTAGAACGCAGCCAGATATTGTCCTGGTCAGACGGGTTCATGACAACAGGAAAATGTGCAGAACATTAAGGCGATGGGTGGCGCCTGGGTAGAGCATGTAGTCAGCAGGACATGACGTCATGAAGTCACGTGACCATAACATCAAACCCTCCTGAATTTCATCGTCTTTCCAAGATGACATCTTCTTCCCCATGTATGGCCCCTCCTTTTTATCTCGAGATATTTGTATTATTCCAGTTTGGTGTCCGTCGCATGTTAGATACGTCATCACTCGCTCACTCTGACATTTTCAGGCCATCGGCAGAAATGAAAAATGTGGAGAGCAACTGGCTCGGACATTTGTATTCTCACATTAAGCTCTTCTGGATAATCTCAGGAGAAAGCCAGTGCTCTGGTTGTGGGGACTCAAAAGTTTAGTTCTGTTCAGTTTTACAGTTACAGAATTTAATCATCACAGACGATAAAGAAATCAGATTCAAAATGATATCCTGCAGATCCCTCTGCTTCCTCCCTCACAGAATGTTTGAATACTATTTATCAGGTATGCTGGGAAATTTGATCACACCAATTTTCACAGTTTTGAGGGGAGGTGACCTCTGACATCTTCCAATCAGCTCGTTCTACTCAGAGAGAGTGCGCCACTAAAATGAGAGTATTTCCTGTCAGTGCCCATTGAATGAATGAGCCAACAGCGATGACAGGGATATTACACTAACATGCCAACACTAGATCATGAAAAAGTCTTTGCCTCAGGGTCATAAATTAGATTCTAATGATTTTGTCATCCTGTTAAAACATTAACTTTTAAACCTAGTCTCCTTTGTTTTGGCTCCATAATCTTTGATTTATGCTTTTAATTTTTTGATGGCAAGAAACAGTCTGACACTTGCGCCATTATGATGTTGATGGAATGAAATATTGTCACAATCCATTCTCCTTTTCAGGTTTAATTAGTTTACTTTAAAATGCCATCCATCATTACTGGTGAGGATGAAATGTAGAGAGCACTGAGAGCAAGGAGACTTGGCGAGAGGACTGTGTTTTACAGTTGACTTCA